CCGGCCATGATTTGCGCCCCCCCCTCTTGGACTCCCCCCTCTTGGCCGCCCCCGAGAGGAGAGGACCTCTTCAGCCTGAAGTCGGGCGCGTCTTTCTACAGGAGGGATATGCGGAACATTCAGAAATAGTCCAACAAAATTGTATGGGGACGATGTTTGACTACTTGTTTAGCAGATTGTTGGTGTGTGTGTGTGTGGTTTGGCTCCGTTTTATGTGTCGTTTAAAATCCGCCTGTAGGGGGCCACGCCCGACGTAACCGTAGGCCCACCTGTCAAGCAGTGGCGGAGAGTCCTGGCTCGCCCATAGGCCCACCAAGGAATGTTCCAAGAACCTCGTGTGGTCCGCACGAAGTGTTCGTAGAACGCGTTTTTTTGGTTGAGAGCTCTTGACTTCACACATCGGGCGTCTGTTCCTCGAACATTGCTTTTGTTATTGGAATATATTTGGGTTCTAAGATCATCAGGGCCTTCAGAAGTGCCAGGACGGTCGGCCCCTGCTCAAGAGGATCTCAGCTCCGCAGCCCCACCAGGTGCCTCCCTCGCTCTCTCTCTCTATATATGTATCTCTCTTGCGCTCCTCCTTGTCTCCGCCTCCTCTTCCTCCTCCTCCTCCTCCTCTTCCTCCTCCTCTCCGCCCAGGCTCGTCCCTGCCCTCATCCTGCTCCCCGCCGAGGGCGCGCGCGTAGCCTGGCCTGCGGGTGCACTGCCCTTTGTGGGGGGGCGCACGCAGGCCAGAGTTTGCACGGCAGCGGGGGGTGCCAGGGGGGGGAGCTGGTGAGGAACCAGAGGAGGAGGAGGGAGGAGGGAGGAGGAGGAGGAGGAGGAGGAGGAGAAAGAGGAGGAGGAGTAAGAGGAAAAAGAGAAGAAGGAGAAAGAGAAAGAGGAGAAAGGGAAGGAGAAAGAGGAGGAGGAGGAGGAGGAGGAGGAGAAAGAGATGGAAGAGGAAAAGGAGGAGGACGACGACGAGGAGGACGACGGGGAGTCGGGAATACGTATGAAACTGGCAAATTCGTCCTCGCAGCGTCCGCGTCGCATGCATGACCCTTCTCTGGCACATCGTGGGCGTGGTGTGCCCGAGGAGGAAAAAGAGCAGGAGTACCCGCCGCTCGCTGAACTCAGGTACTTCCATATGCCGAGAAACACCCAGCTTGATTTTCCAGGGTCGAGCTCTTTGCCAGGTGCTCGGACGGGGCGTCGCGATCCGGGGCCGGGGCCAGTGCGCCTGCTGGGTCGCGAGGGTGGCTCCGCTTCGTGCTCTCGCTCGTCGCGCTCCGCCGCGGCCGCGCGAGGATGCGACGAGGAGGAGCGCGTCCCGAGGAGGAGGAGGAGGAGGAGGAGGAGGAGGAGGAGGAGGAGGAGGAGGAGGAGGAGGAGGAGGAGCAGGAGGAGGAGGAGGAGGAGGAGGAGGAGCGCGCGCGAGGTTGACCGAGCGACGCAAAAGACCGCGGGGTCGTCTGCGCCGACACTGGCGCGTAGGCTGCCCGAAAGTGAGGTCGCGCGCCAGCACCCGTCGTCTTCGGTGCGGCGTGCCGCGCTTGGCGGCCCGCGCAGGCTGCGGCGTGGGGTCGCTGAGCCATCTCGCGTACACCTTAGGCGATGCTTAAGAAAACCTAAGTTTTCGGCCAGAGTCTCGATTATTCTTAACGTTTCCATGTAAATCCTAAGATTTGAATGGAAATTGTGTGTTTTTATTCAAGTTCTGAGACTATGAATTTCTTAACCCATGATTTCTTAAGCATTTCGCAGGGTGTATGATCCGTTCTCGATCGTCGCCCAATTGGGTGACCCAGGCTTCCCCGCGGTCTCCCGAGGTTTATGCAGGCCAGCCACAGCTGGGGGAGCTGTGGTCCTTACCCCCCTGGGGGGCCCATCGATTTCGACACCCCTCTCGAGAGATCGTCGATGCGATGGGTTCCCCCAGGGGGTAAGGGCCACAGCTCCCCCAGCTATGGCTGGTCGGGTTATAGACTGAGGAGGTGCAGGCGAGGGCATGGGAATCTGGTTGCTGCTCCCCCACCAGGGGTTCCTGGAGGCCTCCTGGGGCCGAACAAGAAGAGCCAGACGAGCCCAGCATCCAGGCGATCCTCTATCCTCGATCTCGCTGCTGCTCCGCCTCCCCAATCTTCGAATCGGATCGCAGTTTCTGCGCGCTGGCGAGGGCCAACGGGAAGCCAGACCATCGACGTCGGGATTTGCATGCTGGCGCTATGCTCTCAACTGCGCGGTCTGGGGTCTGTGTTTGGACCCCGGGGCCATCGACCAAGATCTCCCTGGAACGGGCCACTGAGTCTTGCGAGCACATTTTTCGAAACAGCACATTATCTGAGGTTTGGGCCCCGAAGTGCACACCCGTGTAGATGGCATCGGGTCTGTGGCAAGGTTGAACGGCCATGATGATGATGATGCTGATGATGATGATGACGATGATGATGATGATGATGATGATGATGATGATGATGATGATGATGATGATGATGATGATGGTGGTCGTGGTGATGACGGTGACGACGATGGTGATGGTGATGCTGATGGTGATGCTAATGATGATGATAATGCTGATGAGGAGGAGGACGAGGAGGCAGATAGAGATGAGGATTAGGCTCAGGATGGGGATGAGGATGAGGATGGTGATGGTGATGGTTATGATGATGGTGATGGCGATGGTGGTGATGACGATGAGTATGATGACAATGTGTTTTTTGAGGATGATGACGGTGATGATGGTGATGCTGATGATAATGATGATGTTGCTGATGATGATGATGACGACGTGGTGATGGTGATGGTGATGGTGATGATGATAGTTATGATGATCGTGATTGTGATGGGGATGGGGATGGTGATGGTGCTGCATGATGTTTGTGATGGTGATGTTGATGGTGATGGTGATGGTGGCTGTGGTGATGGTGCATCTGCTGCTGCTGATGAGAGTGAGGAGGGGGGGAGCAGTAGGAGCAGGAGGAGTAGGAGGAGGAGGAGGAGCAGGAGGAGCAGGAGGAGCAGGAGGAGGAGGGAGGAGGAGGAGGAGGGGGAGGAGGAGGAGGAGGAGGAGGAGGAGGAGGGCGAGTGCTCGTGTGTTCCTGATGGCTTGGGCGCGGCGCGCGCGCAGCCGCACCGCCGCGGCCGGCCATGGCGTCGGCGCAGTCGCTGCACCCGCGCGCTGCCGCCGGGCCGGCGCCGGCGGCGGCCGGCCGCGGCGGGCGGGGCTCCGAGCGGGAGGGCGCTGCCACGCGGGAGGACGGCGTCGGGCCGGCGTCCCCCCAACATGCTTCTGCTATGTGTTCGTCGCCCCCCCCAGGGGCGACGCGCGCAGCGAGGAATCTTATTGTACATGCGTCGTGGCGGGCGCTTTCTGGCCACACCGCTCGCGAAACGATATACTGCAAGATGGGTATGCTGTATGTTCGGGTCGGGCGCGCGCCTCCAAGGAGGACACAATAGGATTAGTATGCCTCCGTGCGTCCCAAGGAAGACGTGCGGCTGCTCGAGGAAGAGGGGGACAGAGCCGGGCGACGAACTCTACGCAGGTCCACCGCCCCCGTGGCCTGGCCCTCCCTGGGCCCGGGAGCCGTGCACACGGCCCTCCCAGCCAGGCCAGCAAGGCTTGGCGTATGCACCGCTGCTGGGTTCAGGATGGGCCTGGCCAGGAAGGAGGAGGAGGGAGGAGGGAGGAGGGAGGAGGAGGAGGAGGAGCGAGGAGGAGGAGCGAGGAGGAAGGAGCGAGGAGGAGGGAGGAGGAGGAGGAGGAGGAGGAACGAGGAGGAAGGA